TGGGAGAAATTTGATGTATTTTCATAATTAACGGTGGAAGAGATCTCTATTACTAAAGTCTATAAATATAATTTGGAAATCGTAACATGATGATATTGAGTGATGTGTACTTTAGTGAGCTGCTGTAAAACGATAAAATAAAGACAGATTTCCATTTTTACAAACTTGGGGATCCCAAAGCATATTACTGCCAAATGAATCACTTATTTGGAACATAGTCATGATTGTAATGTATAAAACCTGGCGGCCAGTTTATACACAGCAAGCTTCTGGAAGTAGCAAAGCTTTCAGAAACATAGAGTCATTTTTTGTGTATTGATTGAGGAATACGTTGTGGTTAGGATACTAGGGAGAACTCCTCTGCTCTTCAAAATAGTACCATTTGATTTTTTTTTTCCATATTCATCATTCAGGGCAGATATTGCTTCAGTTTACAGTCTCATTTGAGAGAAAGTATCTTGGATAGTCCTGCCTTGAAGCAACTTTATTTGTAATATAAATCTCTGAAATGGGACTTGAACCCACAACCTTCTGCCTGAGAGCTACAGGTGTTACCAACATATCAACCTTAATGCTTCCTCATTCTGGCTTGGTGCTGGTTTTCTGTTTGTTTATTGGTGAAGTGCCTTGGAACTTTACATCAGCAATGGCACCACAATAAATGCAAGATGATCATAAAATCCCTACAGTGTGGAATCAGGACATTCAGCCCATCAGATCCACACCACAGAGCTGCCCACTCAGACACACCCCATCCCTGTAACCCAGCATTTCCCATGGCCAATGCGTCCAGCCTGCACATCCCCAGACACAATCGGCAACTTAGCATGGCCAATCTATCTAACCTGCACATCTTTGGGCAGTGGGAGGAAACCCTTTGTAGACACAGGGCAAATGTGCAAACTCCATACAGACGTCTGGAATCAAGCCCAAGCCGCTGGCATCATCAGGCAGTAGCGCTAACTACTGAGCCACCATGCTTCCCTAATAGGTAGAAAGATACAGTGAAAAGTGTTTTGTTGCCACAATCTGGCACCATTTTGAGTTACAAAAAGAATAAAAAGAAATTACATAAATAGAGTTGTCTATTGTACAAGGGGTCTTCAAATACAGCTCCCTTTATTTTTCTGTCTCTATATTCTATGTTTTGGTTTCTTTCTGTTGTGTAATAAGATGGCGCTGGAGAGTGACAACACTATACAACAGTTTTCACTATCTTATGTAACAAAATACATGTGACAATAAATAAATCAAATCAGTGATGAAATCTCAGGAATGTGTGTTTGAACCTACGGCCTCCTGACTCAGCAGTAGGCATCTACTGACTTGGCCACTGCTGACACAACATATCGGAGGAAGTGTCCATTTAACTCCTTAAAACTGTTTT